CCGGTCTCAAGCTGCCGTGCTCTGCTGAAAGCCTGCCGCATGCACAGGCTTCCGCACTTCCGCAATGCCGAACTCAGTGCCGCAATGCAAGTCGACAACTTCCCGCAGATCCGGCGTCACCCTTACGTCACCCTTGCGCACATCGGCTTCCGGCCACTCCACAGTTCCGGAAAGTGGCGGGCACCTTCGCACTTTTCCCTGAGTGTAGACTGACTTGGGCCGCCCACAAATTCGGCGCAGTGCCGAGTTTCCGCGCCATCCGCTATGCCGCATTCAGCTGGATCATCGCCTCACTTCTACAGCACATGCCCCACCGGAGCCTGCTTCAATCCGCAAGCCAGCTACTAGCTAGTAAGGCTTGTAGTCCGAGTCAGTCGTGACTGAGTGCAGGACCCGCCGGGGCCAGACTGCATCTGCACCTTGCAAATACATTTGGTGATCGAACTCGTGAGTCCGCCCACCAATCATGCAGCGGCTGTCTGGCTGAAAAGCTTGAAGCATTGGCAGGATCCGCTCGTGTCTCGCCGCGGCGCCGGTAGTACAGGCAGGACTCGTCCGTCACACCCCTCTCAAACCGTTCACAGCATGCGGATATGCGCGGCGGAGCTTCCTAGCATCATTGTCGGAATTGCAGCGTGCCGCTACATTGCCCTCTTGTCGTACTTCCGCACTTGTGCGAGAAATGACGTCGGGGATCGATCACTAAGAAGAGTACTGCCGTGCCAGTCACCCTCTGCTATCTGCATTCCGCCCTTCGACAAAATCCTGAAATCCCGCTTACACTGTCCTGCTCGGCGCAAGTCAGACAGGTCAACTCAGTCATGACAGAGTGGACCTGCCGTGCATTTGCACCGTTGCAAACCCATTCAATGATCACGCGCGGTGCATGCTGGACTCGTAAGTCCGCCGCAACCATCTTACTACATGCGAGGTGAAAGGCTGATTCTATCTTGCAACAACCGTTCTGACAACAGTTTCATTTCCGCACTTCCGCAAACATTGACGTCACGGTCGGAGTCACTGGGCAGACTGCCATGGCAATCACCCCTTCCTCCCGACCAGAACTCCACGCTCCAGCCGTGGCTGATCACGTCACACCCGTTTTGCTGCTGCCAACTATTTCCGCTCCATCGTAACAGAGGCGGAAGTCAAGCTAATTGGCCCATCAAGCAGTGCCTGCACGCTTCCTTGAATCAAACTCTGCATGCGTCAAGTGCACAGACCTTCCAGGGCTTTGAGACCTTACCGCACCGCAAGGATCAGTGGCAGCTTTGATGTCAGCGGAAGCTGGTTAATGAGTGTAGCTTGAGACTGATCCGCAACCCTGTAAGCACTCTTTCATCAGATGCATCAAAGGGTCAATCTTGCAAACTTGAGAGTCGCTTCCAAGATCTTAGATAGGGGTATGATCTTTGACATGAGCATCTCTTCTTGGATCGGGTTTTCCCTGGAAGACAGTCTTAGAAAAACTCCGGGTTAGTATCCTGGCATAGGCCCGTGCCCTCAAACAGACTCGGGTCCAGAACTCAGAACCAAAAAAGCTGGAAGGCACTGTAGCATGGTGCACCTTTTAACATCTCACTTCCGGGGAGATAATCTATTCAGCATCTCAATGGGCTGGTCTCAATATTCTCCATCAGAGCCCATCAGAGCTTTTGCAAGACTGAGCAGACTTTCTCTTCAAGTTATAACCCTTTCCTTTGCAATAGCCGTTCTAGAAAACCTGAAAGATCTTCAAAAGAGTCCAAGAGTCTGAACCAATGGTTACACCAAATCAAGCCTCAGCCGAAATGGTTCTCTTCAAAATCCTTTCAACCTTCCACATGATTTCAAACTGGTTCCTCTCTCCAGGCCAAGTCAAACCAAAGACCTTACAACATGTGTTGAAACATGTTAGCTTTTCCAAAAGTTAGCCTTCCTGCCATGCTAGAAGGAGACATATTCTCTTTCGGAACCTTTCCCTTCCCTGACCTTCCACAAAAGTCTTAAGTAAACTCTGAAAGGTCAACTCATTCAGGCAAGTCACGTACTCAAGCCCACTTCAGAGAGTCGTTAACTTTTGCCGAAGTTTAATCCTCCACTTTGAGAGCCTCAATGCAAAATGGAAGAGCTCACTACATGCAATCTGATCAGTCTCCGCAAAAAGTCCTGGATCAGTCTAGAATACCTCACAAATACTTTCTTACATAGATGCCCAGATAACCGAGTCTTCCCCCATCCATGCATGCAACACCCAAGGTGAAACCTTCCAGCAAAGTGCTCTAGGCCATCCGGAATCACTGAGAATTATCCCAACAAATGGACAGCTCCACTTTATGATCTTCCTGACAAGAAGACCTCACTCTTCACTTCCGATCCAATTAAAATTTGTTCAGAAACCAACAAGGGGAGGCCAAAGCTTGCCGTCTAGTTGGAGAAGCAGCTTTCTTGAAGTCCTCCTAGCTCCTCCTTCTGCTTTCCAATCCCTTCCGGAACTTCCAGGGCTGTTCCGCACCTGCCACAGTACTGCCTCTACTAGAACTCCGGCTGATCAGTACTCCTTGGAGTACTTTCCTCTTGACCCATGAAGAGTTCTCAAAGAGCTATTGGGAACTCCCCACTGGGGCCTTGGCGTGCCAAAGCTCGGAGGATCCCATTCTCGCCACCAAATTAACGCGGGTCTCCGCTAAAGAAAGGGGTACACTTCCGGCGGAGCTTCCGGCGCCGCACCATGCACACTGTCAGCCGTATTCACCGGCACTCTGCGGAGCCTCTCATATTGCATCATGCTCATGCTTAAGTAGTTGGTGAGCAGTGGCCATGGACAAGAAGATGCATCCAAAGGCGCCTTACTTCTCAACACCTCTTCCTTGGGTCAATTGGAATTAGAGTTCAGTCATGTCCGGATTCACAATACACTGTCTACTCTGTGGACCGGATTGCTCTATGGACGGGACTGCCGACCTGTCAACCTTATCCGGAGGTTACATGCATGCCCGTCGACGCCGGCCGGAGGTTTACAAGGTTTACCGAAGAGGGGCGGCCGCGCCAAAGCGCGCGTGCCCCTTTCTCTTGCGGCTAACCCTTATCATTTCGTCACACCTGCAGCCGTCGCGGTTGCAGAATTGCATAGGACCGTTGTCTGGCACGTTCCTGTCCCCCTCCTTGTCCGTACCTGACTCCTCATCCGTGCCACATCATTTCTCTCACACCAGAATCTTGCCCCGCTTGATTCCACCTAAACGTCGACGATCCGCTCTTCTAAGGTCGGCTCTGACATCTCACTAGCGTTTCAACAAAGCGGACTGAGCTGTGCGTCCGAGCGTCCACACCACTTTTGGACTGGACCTTTTCTGGCTTCCCGCTCTTCCGGGTGAAAATTTCCGGCCAGCAATCCCCGCCCGGTCCGAATTTTCGGACGCACTTTGCTGCCACCTTAGATTATCGGACGATTGCCGGCCGCGCCGTCCAAGACGGAGTTTTTGTCCGAAATCGTCCTCTCCGCGACTTGAGCGCCTCTTTGAACGACGGCAATGACATCAGGTCCGAGAAACTGCACGACCCGTCCGCGTTCCGCCCGTCCTCAGACGACGTCCAGAGCCGTTCATATAGGCTCGCCGGAATGCTCTCCAGCCTACTTCCGGTCACTTTTGTCCGATACGTTCCGAAGACTTCTGCTCCGGTCGTCGTCCTCCCAGCCCCGCAGACGGCGCTTAGTCGCTCGAGCTCCGCGAGCTTTGTGTTTCTTACGCCTCCCGCTCGTTTCGCTTGAAAACCGGACTCCAAGTCGGAACCTCATATCCCTTCGCTCCGGAGGAGCCGCTCAGCGGCCGCTAACCCATATTGCAGTTCCTTTCGGGCGTCCCTGGTCTCCGGGCCTTTCTCTCGCTATACCTGATTCCGTTCCGCTCACACTGGCCGCACTGGGCTCTTCCGCTCGTCGCGCTGGCCCAGTCCTTCGCGCCTTCTTGAGATGGCGTTCGGGAGGGTTTTCCGGGCCACCCGGCCTGCTGCACACCGCACTACTCTGTCGCCCTTCTCGTCCTTCCTGCCGACGAATCGGCATCCAAGCTGAGTCCCTCTCCAATCACAACACCAATGCTTTCCGGCGACGAAACGACTCTGTAAGAAGGGGTCCCAGGTCGCCCCGCCGAGGCTGACGGAACCGCAGGCTTTTCAGGCGCCAGCTTTGCGCCGAAGGTCGACGAGGGAATGACACGTGGCTGATCCCGAGAGGAGCTCATCAGCCGGTCGGGCGAAAGAGGGCGGTTGGCGTTTTAGCTTCGCGGCCGCTGGCTTTGCAAGGCGAGGAGAGCTGAGGGGTTCGGAGTGCTTGATGCGGCCGCCATCTGCGAGGAACGGGGAAATTGCCAGGTTTTAAGGATGGTGATCGCAGATGAGAAGTGGAAAAAGTCAAGCACGGAAACTGCTAAAGGCAGCAATTCGACGCTGGAAGAAGGGTGAGACTGCGGAAGTTCACATAGGCGGCCGTGTGTTGCATTCGTGAAGGGTGACCTTGGTCTTGGAAGTCTCGAGTGGGAAAAATGTTCACTTCTTAGCATCTTTGTCTGAGCACGAAGGAGTTGCAGCAGCAAAAAGCTCACAGGCCCAAGAAAGATCATTTGGGAATGCAAATTTTCACATCGATGCTCAAAGAGGCTGCAAGCAAAGCTTGCCACTCAGTATAGCACCTCCAAGGACTTAGCGCGAGATACAAGTGCTTCCGTCGCTGAGCAGAATCGTTGCTGCAACCACAGCAAATGCCTCTCGAATCAAGCTTTCTCACCGCGCCTCCACGCCGACTGCGTCAGCTTCTGGGCACCTCCGGCTCTCGCCCCACCCTCCCTGAATTGCCCGGTTGATCTCCGCGACCACCGACACCGTATTCTTGAATACACGCGTATCGCGGCACGAGCTGCGCACTGTGCTCCCCCTCCATTCGCCCAAAGGGGACGGCCCGAACTGTTCTTCCAAACCAGTTTGGGCGCCCATTCGGCGCTCACCGACTGGGGACGCGAGCGGGGAGGGGCTCGCGGACCGGATGTACCCGCAAACGTTCAGAATGGCGTGCACTGCATGCTGCAAGGGGGAGAGATTCCAAGTCTCACTTTAGCCCTCCGCGGTTGGATTCTTTCAAGGCGGTATGGTCGATCTTAGGCGACACAAAGCAGTCTAAACGCCGCTCTTCTGAATCATTACCCTGCAGCAATCTCGTTTTCAGGGAAGGCTTATGCTCTGCTAGGCGGACAGAAGAAGTGCCTGAGGGGCGACCAAGGCGGTGCCTAGAACAGGTTGGAGGCGGCGCACCCATGCTACAGGTCGCCCACTAGGTGCCGGTAGCTGGCCCACGCCGCTCCGCGTCCTTCCGCTCCTGTTACAACTGCGGGCGGAAGCCGAACGAGCGGGATCAGATCTGCGGAGGAGTGCGAGAGCCTTGAGTAGAGCGAGAGAAGTACAGTAGCTCTAGTACTTCTCTCGCGGCTGAGTCTTGAATGTAGTGGCTTTCTAGCGTGGACTATTAGGGGGATTCTTCGTACGTTTTCGTATCGAACACGGGACACATTGAAAGAGGGCCAGTCTGGACTTCGCTATTTCAAGAGCTTATTGTTGTGGCTCAAGACGAAGCCACAAGATAAGGGACGAAGCAAAGAGATAAGGCAATGCGAAGGGACGAGAATCAAATAGGGAACATCAAAAAATCTCAAGAGCTTATTGATTGGGTTGCGTCTTTGTAGACGCTTCCGGTTAGCGCAGCGCTTGCAGACCTGGCGAAAATTACTGAAGGTCCCCCGCCTTCGACGTCTGATACTCGAGGCTTAGTCCAGATATTTTATGGGGCAAGTAGAACCCGGGGGAGTAAGGGGTACTGCTTCGGAGCGCTTCGAGTGAGTTCTTTCTCTGATCCTTCACAGGAACGCGCCTGCCGAATGTTACTCTGGTATCAACTTGTTCAAAACATGATTTCGAGAAGCGTGTAGTAATGGCAATGAAAGTGCACATTAGGCAGTAAGACAAGTTTACCAGCAGCGCAGTCCACGCAGCCTTTCTGATCTAGTGAAAGATCTGGTGAAAGGTATGCCAGCTTTGTGCCCTGTCCTTACCTCTATGGTATTGTAACTAACGACGCTGCAGCTGCATCCCCTTCTTCGGAATACTCCAGACGCATCCGCCACAACCGCCCGGGTCTTTTCCCCCGGTCGCCCGTCTTCTGCCTGAGATGCTCCGGTTGGTCGCCCGGGTACTCCCCACGGCCAGCGCCTCATCAAGTGCGCAAAAGAGAACCTCGCCGGGTGACCCCGCATCTGTCGCGGCCGTGGCCGCGCTCACCCTGCGGCCGCGTCAGGCTTGAACGTCCACTTACAACAGTGATGCGTCTGCACAATTGCAAAGAACATGGTCGAGTAGATGCTTAGCTCTCCCGGTTTTGCGAGACGCCGGAGGTCCGGAGGGCCTCGCGAAACATTGGGGCAATTTGGGGGGATAAAAAGAAGGCGTGAGTTCAGGCTCCTAAGTATTGGATCAACAAGCTTATGCGATGCTTTCCCCGATCACGGGGTTGGGGGTTGGAAGAGCCTTGCCGGCTTTTTGAGCGATCTGGGGGCTAACAAAGCACGGCGAAACGTAGAAGACAGGGAATCCCGAGAGCCTTCAGAAGAACTAGATTTTGTGTGGTTGTGGCGAAGTCCCCGACACAGAGATGGCGGTCTTGCGCACTGCTGGAGGAGCAAAAGGCATGGGGGAAGCCTGCATGCGTGCAGACTCCAGAGGGGTCACCACTTCAACCAGTTTGACCCCCCCCGAAGGTAGGAAACCGGGTTTTCTTACGGCCTTCTAGAAAAGACGAGCTTTCTGAGGAACAGGAAGAAGCGGACTTCCTGACGGAAAGGGAGAAAGGATTCGAGCCCGCACACTTTGCGGCCCTGGTTGAGATCCTCCCACTCTCATCGGAATCAAAGGAGAAATATATCAGTCGCAAGGAAAGACACCTGCTCGTCTTCTCAATAAGAGATTGAAAAGACACTCCCTAGTCTAGAATCGTGTCAAACCATCGAAAAGAACATAATTGACAACAGAAGCCACCTTCCAAGCCACCGTAAAGGTCCCCTTTGGAGATCCTTCGGCGCATATCCCACCTTCCCACACGAGGACCTTGTAATCCTGTGAGCTGGTGACATGTGCGACCGGTGGTCCTCTGCATGGCGAACCCATCACGGGGCCCTTTTGACCATCCAGAGTCGTCTGGTAGGCGCGCTTCTGGTCCAAAGAGCTGCAGACCTGAGCGGGCTTGATCGAGTTTTTGTACCCAACGAGAGCTGTAGAGGAAGCCTTCAATGACATTTTGGAGCGCTGAAAGTCGCAAGGAGTCCGTCACTGTAACAATGGAGCAGGAGGCGTGCGCGTGAGAAAGTTGCGCGCGACAAAACCAGCACACAACGATGAGTTTCCCGGTTGAAAGAAGCTCGTCCTTAAGCACTAAAGAGTATTGCTCCTAATCAAACCTGATCAACCGATATCTACCCAGCTTTTAACCAGCTTCACTTGGTAGAAGAGCCTCAGATAGGAGCCAAACCGGCCTTCCTTAACCAATCGTGAACCCTTGTGAAGCCGTGGCGCCTCTGGGGCAGGAGGGAAAGGCCCAAACGTCAACTATGGATGAAGCAGGGAAAGGAGAAGCTCGTTGTGCGGAAGGAAAACGTGAAGACAGTATGACTTCCAAACAAAGGCCGGAAAACGGGGGTTCCATCGTGGCGTAGAAGCACTGATGCCAGCAACATAGTCCAGATCATGGCCATGTACAAGCCAATGGAACGCGCTGATGAGACTGTTCGCAAAACAAGTTTGGGTGGCTTGAAACTTTCCAGAACAACGTCACAGATGGTTTGCGAGCACCAACCGCTAGTACTCCCTCTTTTCAGAACAGGCACTCACTCAGGATTTAGGAGAGCGTAAGCGCTATCAACAGAAGCTGAAAAGTAGGTAATCGCAAGAATACCTGGCTGCGCAAAACTGCCAAAAGACACAGCTGTCCACATATCCAATGACGAAAGTCAAAGAGTCAAGTCAGAGAAGTATTCATGTGGAGGCCTACAATGTCCTGAATCATATGTAGGATCACAAGATCAGTCCTGCATCGAAACACTGGGATCATGGATGATGTGTGCATGCCATATGAGTGACCTGGAAAGATCGTATCTTTTTCATTTTCGCCGTTAGCCTGAGCGCGGCAGTCTGTTCACCGACATGATATTGCACCGACATAAGACCGCATGACAGACAACACGCAATGCTGTCAAGTGATCAATAAAGCAACCTTGCAAGTTTAGCTTGTCACCCACCAAGCACGCAGCGTGGATGCAAAGCAAACTGCCACATCCTGCATCAAATTGCTCGCTCGCTTGGACCTTTCTAGCATATTAACTTACACCGTTTACCAAAAGGTGTTAGAGGCATCAGGATAAATGGACATCCGATTTGGCTAAGTGCGACTGTACACATTGGCCACAGGCATCCTGACCACTGCTTCCGCAGAGGCGGAATCTCTGCAGTCCCATCAGCGGTGGTCGTACGGGCCTCCATCATCTTCACCAGCTTCTTCCAAACCACATGAGAATTGCGAGCTCCTTGAACCTTACTTCCAAGAGAAGGGATTCTCCGGTGTCGATTTTCCGGTGCTGGTGGTGCCGTTCCGGCGCTGGACTGCCTGCTTCAAGTTCGCTACCCAGGAGACTTCATCTTCGCGTTTCAGTCCGCCTGGCCTCCGAGTCTCACCCAGCTTCGTCTCCTGACATTAAAGGCTCTCTCCACCGTTTGAAGGGATTCCTTTGCCATTGGGCTCCCTGGGCCTAGGTAGCTATAGTAGATCGTCGTTGAAACCCTAATCTATAAATCGCGGACGCCACTGATGCTGCAGCTCAGTATTTTCGGACTTTTAAATGCGGCTACGTACGCCAAGTCGGGTTACAGTTCAAAGCGTTACACATGCCAATGGCGTTCGGACAAAGTGCCGTCCGCATGAGGAATCCCTTCAGCCTTGCATGGGGCCCGTTCCAAACTGCGCACAATGTATGTATGATGATGAACACCGATCAAGAAAGAGGCTGAATCCACAGTTCAGGTCACAGGGTGACCTGAAGTCTATTTGGTCCTGGGGATGCACACCCAGGCGCTCAAACGAAGCTGCAGCTTGGCACAACAGAGAAATCATGCAGGGACCAAAAAGTCCCTGAGCAACAGCTAATGCAGATTGCGTGGAACCAGAGTAGAAGCGTCTCGGCTTCTCATCCTAGGCCCACAGCACGTGATAAATGGCTTCTCTATTTGGCACTCTTTTAGGAGTCTGTCGCTCCACTGGGAGGGGCACTTTTGGGCAATTGGTCAGGAGTGTTAGCTTCGGTTTGCGGAACTGCACAGCAGATATCTTCGATGTCGCGGCCGGAGACGCACCCTTTGGGGCCAGCACTCAAGGAAACCACCCTCCTTCAGCACTACAAGGACCAAAATTGAGCAATTTCCCCCATCCAGAGAAGCAGTTCATTCCGCAGTCAGCGTGGCCTTTCTTTCAAAATCTGGAATGTAGCCGTGTCTTCAGCAATGAAGCTGCACAGTTGGCGAGTAGGGATGCGACTGGCAAGCACGGCGGTGAGGAGAGCGGGCAAGGGAAGGATGCTTTGATTGAGGAGGGGTTCGATTTGAGCAAGCAAAGTGCGCCAGCACAAGGGGCCAGTGACTCGGCTAGCGCAGTCAAGAAGTGCATTGAGTGCCAGAGCACAAAGCTGGTTTGCGACTTCAAGGAGACTGCAGCGTATCCTGATAGGAGAAGCCCCACCTGTCGGGCCTGCCTGGCTGTGCTAAAGCCACGGCGTCTGAAGCAGCCCTTGCTCCACCTGGGACTTACTCCGAAGGAGGCCTGGGAGAGGCCAAAGGAGTGCAAGACGTGTGGGCTCAAGAAGGAGCTTCGTGACTTTGCGGTGTACAGATCAAAAAAGGATGGC